ACACGAAAAAGTACACATTAATACACCGGGGTCAGGTCGGGTCAGGGTGTACTTGTGTGTGTGTATTTTGGTGTATTAGTGTGTGTTTGTGTTTTAGTGTAAATTAGTTTGTGTATTTAATTTTATTACTTTTGTTATTTAATACGAAGATAAATACTCATTTATCACTAATGCTATTTGAACATAATTTTGGGACATAATGAGTTGTGACCAATGAAATGATAGTGAAATGTATTTAATGATGTTTTCCATTATAGCATTAAATGAATTCATTATCATATCATTGTGACAATTCATTATGTTCCCAAATTAGGTCCATAAATTATATCCCAATAGCATTGCTCCTCATTTATAATCAATCTTAACTCACTTAAATTAAAAAGAGTTCTATTGCCTAATCCATTTAAAACCCGCTTTAATTAATATAAGTATTCAACCTATTTATTTATGAGCAATGCTACATAGATTTCACTGTGGGTCCCAGCATTTATTGGGACCTACTACCTATTCAATAGTTGAGATTATCAAGTCTAATTTTTAAGTTCATCTAGCATTACTCTTTATTTATAAACGAGTTGGACGAATTAATGAATAATGAGTTAAGATTGTCACATTTATCCCCAACCATTTATTGTTCTAAAAGGCAATGTTAATCGATTCATACTGCCAGTATGATTTTTTTTTTTTTTCCTAATACCACTATGAATTGAAAGATCAATTCAATACATATATACATGTATGTGTATGTATCCAGGTAGGCATAGGAATTTGGACATCTTGCTTGGCCAGGAAGTGTGTGCCTTCAGGTCTTCCCTCATAAATACTCTTTAACAGCTTACATGCAGGGTCTACGGTACGGAGTACATAGAACAAAGGTCACCTAGCCTTTCAATTGTGTTTTTTTTCCTCTTTCCTTTTTTGGGTTATTGTTAAAATTGATACCAAATCATGTTATTTTTTATATCCATATCGGTTTTAAAATGATACTGGGATAAAAATTTGATCGATTCAAGAAGTTGTATAATCAGATTCGTGTATATTCAAGTTCGTTTTAATTTATTTACTAAATGGATTTTATGGATTAACTCGTTTATGATCAGATAATTTTGCATTCAATCAAACAGATCATCTTAGAAAGGTCTTGAATCTAGTTCATCCTGCAGTGACCAACGCCATAGCTGATGAACAAGAGTACCAGGGGAACACAAAAGCCAGATGTGTCCTAGGAAAAGCATATAATCTTAATAAGTATGTCGATATAAATACTTGCAAGTTGCCCACAGTAATTAGTTACTCTTTTTTTTTTTCCCTTTCAAGACTTACCAAAAAGCATTCAGTTTGTGTTATTATCACCCCCAACTTGCACATGTGACAGTTTGACCCACCCGAGAAAATTTCTAACAGCAGTGCAGAGAAAGAACTAGGGAAGAAACTTAATAGACTTATTATCTAATTAAGCATCAAAATCAAACACTTAAAAGCTCACGGGTGGTTCAGTGAAGAATCGGCTGAGCTCTTATTTTGAGGTTGGAGGTTCAAATTTTGGAGTTTACATTGGGACTCAGTGATTAACCACTATACTATCCTAACTAAGATCGTTTTCGAAAGGAATAACGGATGCCATCAAAAACTTTATACTCCTATTAGTGAAAATCTATTAGGGTGATCTTTGGACACTTTTCTTATTCTATCCCTTTTTTAAATAGAAAAAAAAAAGCCCTTAAAGCTTGTCAAGAGAAAATGTATTAAAACTCCTAACACTACAACAATCATTACATCATGATTTTACCCAATCCTGTTGTCCATCCTATCACAAACAGCTAGGGATTTTTCAGTCTGCGAGAGATCATTGTGTTACACCCGGGGCTTCTTTTGCTTTAACAATTACACTAAGCAATCTAAACCCCTGTGGACCAGTGCAGTAAGTTCTGCAAATGGCCCCCTGCAGTTTTTATTTTCACAGGAGGTTTTAATTAGTCTTTAAAGAAGTTCAAATGATAAACGAGACGATAGGAAGACCTATCAAGTAATAGAGTTAACAAGAACCCTATTAAATATATCTTATACACGAAATAAGCCTTAATATATATAACAATAAATGGGTAGAGTATGGTCTGAACCTGTATTAAACATATATTCATTAACTCTATGTGTTGTGATTATGCAGTAATTATGGTGAATAATAAGACATCAAACAATAAAAAAAGCAATAAAAAATAATACAAAGATTTATGTGGTTCGACAATGTGCCTACATCCACAGGTGCGAGCGGCCGTTCTTTCTCATTATTCAAAGTAGGGTTACATCCTAAGTATTTATATAATTTTAATACAGACGTATTTACAAAATATCATTGTACCGTACCGCGGAGGCGTCACCCCCGCACTCCCAACTAATCAACATCCCCTTATACATAAAATATATTAATCTCGCAAGGCAGATGCCGTCGCAAGCTCCGTTCTGACATCTGCCTCTTTGTCATTGTGCACACAACAAATATGAGTCACACATACTCTAACACTATGCAAATGTTGTGTTATCGGATTATGTTAAGAATTGACAACAAGCGCATGTGTGTATCTTTGAGAGAGAGAGAGAGAGGGGAAGTTCCCATGATTAGTACAATGGGATGAAGTCTTATTCGGTTTTATGCACACAACTAAATTGGTAACTTGTTCCATGTTTGCAGGCCGATCAGTGTCAAAATCTGACCCATTCTGCAACGTCAAACTCCACTGGCTTCTTGTTCGAGCCTCCCGAAAAAAACATTTGTACCCTACAAATTGAGTCACAGCTCACACCATGTGTAAAAGCATGGAGATTCCACATTTTCCATAAGCTTTAAATCTCAGGCGACATGAAGGAAGCAGTTCTACACCTGTCATGGTTCATACCCCCACCCAAAAACTGGCCCCAATTCTGATTCTGATTTTTCTAAACAATTTCATCAGAAGGCAACCACCACAAATGGGGAGTCCTTCGAATGGGCAGTCATACATGTGAAAAAGCTCCCCGTGTCCATTTTGTGATAGTCTTATCTCGATATTATCAAGTCATACCATCTATCAAAATGGATTTTAAACTGATATTCTATCCACTATACAACAACTACAAGGAATATATTAAGACGCGAACAAAATCATAAAAATACTTTCTCGGCGTACAGGGATAAAATTACATATATTTGACCTCCACAATCTTTGTAGTGGTGAGAGTCTTACGTCTTTAGTTTTATTTTTGTGAATGGACCACGGCAAAGAAATTTTTGATGGGTTGAATATCTTTGTATGGACTTCAGGGGAGTGGATTACAGAATGTTTTAAGGAGAGGAAGTGTGAACATTGAATGTTTAACTGCTACAAACAGGTATTTTAGGTGGACAATTAACAACATTTTATTAGAGGATTTGGTGTCTGAAACGGATCGTTTCATTTGACCATGATCAGATTATTAGTGAGTCGATCGAGTTTCCTTTATCGAAATTAAGAAAGTTTTGTTGCGTAACCTTCTGTTAATGTCTTCGGATTTATTAGATATCAATGCATTGAATATTTCTATAATTTTTTATTTTAGGTCCAAACAAACATATTTGTATTTTGTTCAATTCAATCTTTAAGTAACACCCTTCCCCGCGTCGAAGATGTGATATCATGGTCACATTTGGCTCCACCATGGAAGAGGAGGGGCATGCATAACCCCCGGGCCTACCTCGACCCTGTTATTCCTACTAGGAGAGACTCAAATGGTTGACAGAGTTGTGTGTCATTGGGACCCACTCAATGCCACATTTTTGGACCTCACAACTCAAAGCTTATGTTGTTGGGTGGAGAATTGTCCACAAGTTTATAAACCCAGACAAGTTTATAAACCCAGACAGCACCTCTACCTACGTGATGTGAGATTTGGACACACTGCTTATCTTATAATACTAATTTAACTAACCAAATTTACTACTGCCATTAGATGAGTAGTAAAACTTTTAAGTAGTATCGCTCTTCCCCGTTGATGCTGAAAACTCTTTCTCGTTAATGTTTCAAAAGGTAAACATGTTTCAAAAGGTAAAAATTTATTAATTTAAAAAAAATATATATATATATATATATAATGAAATTCAAAACACACTACAAAGGCACACTTAAGTTCTCAAAAGAGATAACTCCACAAAACACACACGCCTAGTTTAAGACAAAAATATTCATTGTAACGGCAATATCACGTCAATATTGTCATGTGATACCATACAAATAAATAAGAAAGTGAAACCCACATAAACTAATAATTTATTGTCCATTAATATAGATAACTATCAATTTGTCTTCGTAACTCAAAAAATATTTAAGTGGGGTTCATTAAACTTTTTTTGAGTTTTATTATTGATTGATTAAAAAAATATAAAAACTAACATAATATCACAATTGTATTGAATATTCTCTCCTAATCTACATGTTAGTATGTTCTCATATTTAATGTTTTACTAACATGATTTGGTTTATGCTTGTAGTTTTTATCCCGTTTTGAATGATTTAATAGGTAAGACTGTTTGACTCAGTTTACGTGCACCTCGATTAAATTTTTTTTCAGTTCAGTGAAAGGTAAGTCATTTACGCCGGGATTGAAATATTCATGAGAAATAAATTTCTCATAGTATAGTCTTAAAGTATTACCAATATTTAAACTTAAGATATCTGATTTTACAACTCATCTTAATTACCCCGTTAAACTAACCCACATATTTACTTTTTAAATAGTCTAGTATTACATATAAATAACGAGTAATTTATTGAACTAATTTATTGTAATATTTGAATTGATTATGAATTTTATCGAACATTAAAACTTGATGTTGGTCTAATGTTTACACTAAAATTATATCATTAACTTAATAATTAAATTAAAATTTTAAATCTAAATAACATTGCTCTTAAATAATTGGATGCACTCCGTCAAATTTAGTAGAGTGAACAAGACCGCTACTCTTTCGGCTTTGCGACTAATTGCCTTTATATGGACTTGTGCTTTTGGGCAGCATGCAACACTAAACAACAAGAATTGGGAGGAAACTTCAAAAATTTGGGACCTTCAGAATTCAATTTTTCACACGACCCACACCGACTTGACTCAACTCTTTGGAAATGGTCAACCGCTAATTGCGCCGACGTGTGGGCTAAAAAGAATGCCACTGTGGCGGTCAAAGATCTCACACCCAAAGCACACAAAATATGTAGCATTCATATTCTCCTTTTAGGAATGTTATTTAGACATATTTTAAAAATATAATAATTTTGACAATTAAATTATTAGTGAATCACAACATTAAATCAAGGGTGAACAAGTTTAAAAAAAAATTAGTAAGTATAATATTTTTTTTAACAATTAAGAATTGCAATAAAATGAGTTATTCTCGTTTGCACAGAAATCTCATATTATACTTAAATCCCAATATTGTTATTGAAAGAAACTTTCGGTATGCGGGTTAGCAACGATTCTAATTTCTTTAATATTAATTTTTAATTATAAAAATGTTGTTGATTAAAATAATATCATTTTATATCAAAATAGTAAAATCATTTTGTTATTTTAATTAACAGTATCGCTGCTATTAATTTTTTAATAATAGAGAATATATAAAACTAAATTAAAAAACCACATAAGATAATAAATTATTTTTATTTAGTCCCGGTACAATATTACACACTTAGGAAGCTATTTATTTCTATTTGAAAAGTACAAAAAACTAAACAGAATTCCACTGAAATGGAGACTCCTAAACAAATTAAATAATAGAACACAAAAAAACTAGCCGATATTTTCTCGCCGCCGATACAAAATTTGCCAAGAAATTTGGCAAGCCGGCGACGATGACACTTGTTTGTGCTACAAAGTACGTCATTGTGCCATTAGAGAGTCCGAACCGATGTCTCGAAAATAATCGTCCACTTCCAACATTGACGAAGATCCGAGATGATCATGAACTGAACCGTTAAACATGCCGAGATCATCGCCAAGCAAATCATTTTCAAAAACTGGAAGATCGTCAAAGGGTATGTTGAAATCTTCAGTCAAGAAGATGTCGGAGAAAATGGGTTCGCCTGATAAACTGGGTTCGTCGAATTGCATTGGCTCTGGACATTGGAAATTGAAGAGATTGTCGAAAAATGGTAAATCCATCGGCAAATATTCAGTTGAATAATCTGATAAACCAGTTTCACCCTGAAACTCTTCATCTTCTTGAACTGTTTTTTGACAAGATTGTGGTTCATGAACCGCTTCACTTTCCGTACTTTCTTCAACTGATTGAGACTCTTCAGCTTCTTTCACCATTTCTTGAACCGTTTCAGAGTCTTCAAGCTGGCTTTTCTGTTCAGTTTCTTCGCTAGAATGACTGGTTCTGAAGCGTAGAACCGAAGTCGGAGATGATAAGTTGTGAGACTCATCGCCGGACTCGTAGCCGGAAACTGAGGTCATATTAATCTCCGGTTTCTCCTTTGGCGGGGGGGTGACGAAGTTCGTTAAAGCGTCTGGTCCACGGAGCTTAATCGCAGCATTGTCGTAGACCATTGCAGCCTCCTCGGCGGTGTCGTAAGTCCCCAACCAAAGCCTGACACGTCTTGCCGGGTCTCTGATTTCAGCCGCCCATTTCCCCCACGGCCGTTGCCGTACACCTCTGAACTTCTTGACATTACCTACGGCGGGTGTTGCCTTCACCGTTTTCCGTTTAGCCGGAAGTGTCTCTCCGGTTCTCTGCTTGCTATTAGCTACTGCAATCAGACTGGTTTTACTAACAGTTTCGAATCTCTCGATACTAATCTCATCCACATACTTCTTGACTCGTCGCCGTCCAAAAAGCTCATCCTCTTCATCGCTCGATGAGTCTGTAGCATCAGGGTCAGTGACTGATACCCGTACAGTCCTCGGAATACCCGAGTTGTATTTCTCTACTTTCCGGTGCTCGGAAAACCTCTTAGGCTTCAATAATGGGGGCTTAGTGATTTTCCTAGAAACGTTTCTGTGTTCTGTGTATTTGATCGGACATAACAAACTGTAGTCCATCGTTCTCTCTATCAAGACTCAACTAGTATCTCAGAATCTCTATATTCGAAAGGAAAGAAGAGTGAGAGCGTGAAGGTAAAAAAGAAGATTGCTTTGAGACTCGGCACGAGACATATAAAGATGGGAAAGGAGTGAAAAAAGTGACTGAAACCGTCAAAGAGAAGCTTCAAATGCAGAGAAAATCAAAGACACGCTGATGCATATCTGACAGAAAAAGAAACATGAGCCTCAAGGAAAGTGAAAAAAGTGAAACACACACACAAAAGTGTGTGAATCTTCTAACCAAACCGTCAGTAGCTTGATGGGTGGATAGCTAGGAATCAATACGATACGAGGCCTTTCAAGTTTCAACAAAGTGAACCAGAGAGAAAGAGAAAGCTCTGTAAAAAAAACAGGATTGATCACAAAGAGGCCTAGAAAATTCAACTAGGGCGTGAGACTCAAAAAGAGGCGAAAAAGGAAACGAACACGCATCTAGATTTGCCAGAGAAGTGTTGAAAACACCATGGAAGGAATGAGGAAGAAAAGGGCAGAGTGCGTATGGAGGAGAGAGAAAGTGGAGTAGAGAGAGAGGCAGACTGACTTTCAATTGGGGTGGAAACCAGAACACTGAAAACGCTGTTTTATAGGATCCAACAGCCGAAATTGGAAAACCCAAAAACACGCAGACCATTTATTATTTTATTATTTACTATGATTTATTTACATATTAAATCCGATTCTGAAAATTAATGAGATGGGTTTAGGAGGGAAAGTCATAAACGTCACCGGCCGGTAGGTGGTTGGTGGGCCAAAGATCCCGATAGAGAGAATCTGGCAATCCGACTCGCCGCATCTCGATGATTTTGTTTGGTAATGACACGTGGTGATTGTGGGCCCAGGTAAACATGTTGGTCCAATGAGTGAAAGTAAAATGGATCTGAGTCAGCACCATGATGCACCTTGAAAGACGTGTGGAGATCACGTGAGACCGGGATGCTCTCCACAGTTAAATGTCGGTCATATGTAAAAGGTCAGCTACAACTCAAGATTTTTGACCAATTAACTCAAGGTAAATTACCTTTGATTGAGGTAGTAATTAGCTGTTAACCACCAGGAAATAATTAGATTTGAGGGTACTTTGGTCATTATGAAATTACAAGTACAATTTTTTTTTTTTAAACTCTGAAACAAACTCTTTTTACAGCCAGAAATAACGTGGCGGGCAGCCTAGAATTCGCCGCCATTTATAAGTGTGGTTATCTACGTCTCTGGGGTTTTTACCCTTTTGGATATAATTCCTACTTTCGAGACATCCTAGTCCCAGACGACACTAGTTGAGTTGTTGTATTCGCTGCTCTTCTATCGGCGTCACAGCTAACTAATCTCAGAAGGAGTTTGATTTCACGAAACTTCAGGGCGAGTGACGTGAAGCATTTTTCAGGTTACATCTGTCACATAATTTTTTAATTTTGTACCGGGTAAATTGTTGCCAACAATAGTCTTTGGGTAAATTACACTAAGACCATTCAACGTTTTTCATTTATTCATCTAAACCCCCTTATATTTGATATATTACACTTAAACCCCTTATATTTAACATATTACACCTAAACCTTTAAAATTTGTGTGCATATAACACATAACCCCTATACCCAGTCTCCGCTAAGGTAGCCATTAAAAACTCATTATGTTATCATAACATAAAAAGTAATATAATAAACTGCATTTCTTAAACCAAATATTTGGGACACATTCTTATTTGAACGACTTGGACTCTATGATTACACTTGGGAAACTCCAAATATAAAGGATCGTCAAACGCTAAGGATGTTCAGATGCCCCAATGTGCTCTTCATCTAGAGAAATATAAACTCGATAAAGTTTAAAGACGCGACAAAAACTCTAGAAGTGACTAATGCAATAAACTTGATAATAAACTCAACTAGAAGGATAGTTTGGTCATTGTAAAGAACTTAACAAAATATCTAGTGACATTTAGGTTTTTACTTTGTTATGTTGCATATGTTGATTAATTGTTATCCAATTACGGTTTAAAGTGTAATATGTCAAATACGAGGGATCTACATTATCAAGTGGCAAATTTTAAAGAATTTGGGTGTAATTTACTCATAATTTTTTACCACTTGGCCCAAAAAACAAAAAAAAAATATAAAATAAAAGAACACAATAACCTTTTACCCTCAGCAACACCACACACAGTTAGACATTATCGTTGTTAGGCCTAAGATTTTTTTTTACTCCAACTAATGAATTCAAACACAAAATTAATAAATTTAAATTCATTCCTAGTGGTATTTAATATAGTAAACAAATGTATTTATTAGATTTATCAAATAAATGAATTGACACGAAACTAACTACCCATGACACAAACTTGTTAAATAAAATGTGTATATACGATACAAACCCAAAATTAAAAAAAAAAAAAAATCTGATCATATATAAATATAAATAAAATAAATTTTAATCCGAGACAAATTAGAGATGACACAAACCCTACAAGTCACCTAACAATCCAAATCTTTATACTGATGCTTCATAAGTTTGTCGAATGACTGTGATGGGGCATTACCACCTGATTATATTCCTCTCAATGAGTTTTTATTTTTTCTTATCTTACTTTTTAGTGATAATTGTCATTTATGTAAAATAAAATGGTAGTGCAGTCATCACATAAATGCGTAAATCATTATATGGCTAATTAGACTCGATCATACAACGTAAGCATGAGTCGACCATAAGATGTGTACATATATGAACTACCTTTTTTTATTTATTAGTGCAAACTCGGTTCAGTCCGTATCTATATTAATTATTTGATTTAGTGAAATTAAATATTTTTTGAAATTTTGGGTTTTATTTTTTTCTTTTCTTACTTTTTAGTGATAATTGTCATTTATGCAAAATAAAATGGTAATATATTCCTCACATAAATGACAAAATAATTATATGGCTAATTAGACTTGATCATACGAAGTGTACACGAGTCGACCATAAGACTTGTGCATAAATGAAGTACCTTTTTTTCTAAAACTTGGTTCACTCCATATTGAAATTAATTATTTAATTTAGTAGAATTAAATATCTCTTGAAAATTTGTCTAGGTATTTAAAATTTTAACAAAATTGTTTGGTTGGCCTAAGTAAGCCTAATTAAAAAATAATAATAATTTTGTAAGGTTTTTCATGTACTTTTTCCACGGATTATTGAAGTAATATGAGCTAATTACCTTTTATAAATAATCTAGTTTTATTGTTTCAAGAAATTGTTGTAAATTGAAAATAAGTTCGAGCAAATAGTAATTTGAAAACAAAGTTTTAAAATAACTGTAACTACAATAAAAAAAAAAAAAGAAAATGCCTATTATGTAATGTGAAAAGATAATAGAATAATTCTGTTCATGGCCAGACTGAACCAAGTCAAGTCGGTCCATGACCATAACTTTTGGTCCAAGTTTTAGTTGAGTCAAATTTTTATGCCGATGTCCTGATTTTTAGGATACTGGGGCAGGTCACCCGACCCATGGTCGACCCTAGGTCACCCACCCGGGCATGATTTAGGTTCACCATTGTTGTCATGGATGAATTTCTGGACTTAACTCATGATGTCTCGTGTTGTGGTTTATTCATCGTCTGTTTGTATATGGATTGTTCTGTTTTCCATTGTCGTGAACCCTTTTCATCGCCAATGGGTGAAACAAAGGCTTGTACTTTTTTTGTTGTCACTCCTAGCAAGCATGTAAAAATTCTTAAGTTGTTGAGCTTAATGTGTGAAAAGGGCTGACATGTTTACGTACCCTACTACGGTGCTTCACATGCGTCCATCTTACAAGTGTTCGAAAATGATGGATATCGATCTTAAGTATTAGCAAATTCCTATTTGGTCTCACCACGAGACCTAACAAGAGTTCATGAGCGTCGACCAATTTTGCTTAACGGGTTTGGACCGTTGTTTTTTGTAGGGAAAATTATCCATCCATCCAAGTTATGTCCCTAGTGGTAAACCAAAAGAGAGCTTCTTTTTTTTTTTTTTTGTTGCTTTGGAGGAACCTCAGTTACTTGGGTTCCATTGTAAAACAAATACTAGTAATGTCTGTAGTTAGAAAAGGAAAAAAATCGTCCAAATGATCCCTAACAGGGGAATCAACTGTATCCTCAAAATTGATTCACTGGATACCTTCAATCTCTTTACTGAGAGTATGACAGAAGGACTGTAGATACCTCAGCGCCAATAACATCATCTCAAGGCACACGCTGAGGGAGGATAACCAATGCACTGACTGCCTAATCAAACTGAGAACTGAACTTCTGGATAATTACGTCTGCTTTGAATAGCCTCCTTCACATTTTTATATATTTTAAATTGAGCAAAAGAGTGAAAGGAAACTACTTACTTATTCCATCCATCAATGATGAAAAAAAAAATAATTGAATCGAACAACCATAAATGTATCCCTGTGTTTCTGCACTTAATCCCAAAAAAAAAAAAAATTGAATAAGATGAACCACGACTTTAAAAAGGGCCACCACACCACCCACCCTCATGGTGGCGATGGTTGGTCTTAGTGAGTGGAGGAGAACAAACACCTTAGCTCAGATTTTGATGTGTGCAAATTAATTAAAGAAGGTTGCTGAATCCAACAAGTTGCAGAAAATTCAACGGACTGATCACTAAAAAATACTAATATTATCGTTAACGAGGAATGGGTCACAATCTTTTCTTAGAAGCAAGAAATGTTGGTCTCTCTCTCTCTCTCCTCTTAATCATCTAACATGATTTGTAAATTTAATTTTTTGTTCTAGTTGTATTAGTAGAAAGTAACATTGATAGTGAAATACATTTTTACTTTAACAATAATGTTAGGCAATCCACAAATTGATAATATTAATCGAAAATAAACGTAAATTGACACAAGCACTTATGACTGTTGAACCAAAAAAAAAAAAAGTGTCTAATGTTAAACTTTCACTAGATGGGGACAGTTCAATTGTTACTAA